CTCGAATACTACAGCCACGTATAGGGTGGAGCATCCTATTCCGGCCTTTCTCTCCTCGACTGTGTGCAACGTAAGGCCATCCGGCTGACCGACGAGCAGTCTTTCTAACCTTCCAGGCGGTGATGGCTCGGTGGTAACGCCACCAAATTATCACCCCGGAGATGCGTTCGAACCCCACCACTATCGCCAGATTCCTCCCATTGTGTGTTGAATGGCAGCCCCATGTTTGTCCGCTTCCCCCTTCCTGAAAATCGTATCTTTGTATATTCAATAAAAGGAAATAAAAGAAAAAGACAAAAGTTTAAGTGGGACACCATCGGCCAGAGGGATTCTCGATCTACGGCGTCGAATGCCGCACGAAAATCAATGAAGCAGACTGCTGTGGGCTGTCGAAACTTGTGGTGATGTTCCAAGAGTGAAGAGTAAAGTGAATACTTGATCAACGCAGCCCACACCGGGGTGGAATCCCTTCTGGTTAGAAAGAGTGAAAGCGTGCCTTGTTGCAGCAAAGTTGTGCAAAAACCCTGGCCGCCACGTTAAGTAAACTGATGCCTCTGTAGTTTTCTAACACTGATCTGTCACCCTTTTTAGGGAAAGGTAGTAAAGTCGATGTGGGTAAATTCCGGTCTCCCAGATTGCACACAGTAAGCTATGGAGGGGGTTTTAAATGGTTGGAGAAGACTGCGTAGATTTTTGATCTGAGACTTCTACTGATGGCGGAGCACAGTTAGCCTTGTATGGCGAAGATGGTGAAGAGGACGCATACGGAGATATGTATATTTCACACACATATGGGTTCAGACGGTGTGCCAAACAAATTTCGGTACAATAATCATCATAAAAAGAAAAGAAACGTTCCACGATTTGCATACAGAAGTTAGATTGGAGGGCGATTGAGAAGAGGACTGAGGCGTTCCACCCACTGAGACATTTTTCCTTGCGCATCAGAAATTAGCTCGCTGGAGGCGCTACACAACACATTCTGGGTGACTTGTTTCTTTCTCGATGCTGATCGAATAGGAAGAAAGAGGGTAATCCTGTAGCCCAGGTTGACTGCTGTCTACATTGTGCAGCGACTTTATTCTATTAGTTGCATCCATCGCTTATAGCTGATCGTGTTGCTTGTCGTCTGAGATTGCGATAAGCAGAGGATTGAGCCAGGCGTGCTTCTCTGGCCGCATAGCTGACTGGATGGTGTGGTCGGATATCCAGTCCTTTAGAAGATGCGACTCAGTGCCTAGTTCGCGTACAGCAGCTTGCTGTACCGAAAA